GAAGCTTGGTAAAATGTCAATATAAACTATTAAACTATTCAGAATAGTACTTTTGCAAGAATCTTTCATGCAACTTTGATTGGGAACTTTTGATTTGATAAAGATTCGTTGTTCTCTACTCTGTTGATTTTATTATTATTTATCAAACATTATTGAAGTCCATTCTCCATTTATAAAGTTGTTGAATATTCCACAATTTTACATCAACTCTTTGAACGAGAAAAAAAAAATCAATATTTTCACCCAAAAAACGTTCATTCAAATCCACAACAGAACATCAACTTTAATTTACAACCTAAAATCAGGGAGAATTTTCCAATTCAAAATAAAAAATCACAACCTTCATTAATGACTATAATTACAAGCGATGCTCAGAAATGAAGTAATTCAACCAACAACAAGAGTGGTGGCAGCTCATGTCATGCAATAAAAAAATGATTCAATGAGAAAACAATTTTCAAATTCAAGAAATCGAGGGGATGAAAAATGAAAATCTCAAATTTTTTATAGAGTGCAAACATGATGTTGAAGTACAATTCAAGTTGAAATGAAAATGAGAGAACGAGAATCCCAATGGAAAACTTTATGCCTAAACAATTGTTGTTGAATGTTAAATAGTAACATGATTTCATTTTTACTCCTGACGGCAGTAGTCGGTACATAGCACAAAAGTGTTTATTTTGCCAAATTAAAGGGAAAGACTTATGGCACGTAAATTATATCAAAATATTTACCCCTCAAGGGGTTCACTCTCTTTCCCTCCTGCATGCTATTCTTTCTCTGATGGGCAAATAAAAGTTTTTTCATTCATGAGAAAGGAAAATAAATAAAATTTCATTCAGACAAGAGTGCTGATAATTATAATTTAATATTAAATATTTGATTTTTCGGGTATTTTTGGCATTATGCAAGTTCATTAGAAATGAACATTTGATTGATTATTGTTACATGAATGAATCAAAGCAGATTATTTTGGAATTATTGATTAATTTGCATTTCAAATTGCTTCTGTTTTAGGTATTCATAAATTGATTGAATTTAATTGAGGTGTTCTTGGAAAATTGGAAAATTTCATTGATGTCAAAGTATAGAACTAAATACTTCAATGATTTAAAGTTCAATCTAAAAAGTTTGTTTTAAAATGCGTTTAGGAAAAAAAGCAGAAATAATTCGCAACAAAAGTGCTTTCAGTAAAACAGAAATAGAAATAGTTCGCATCAAAGGTGTGTTCAGTAAAAAAAGCAGAAATATTGTGCATCAAAAATCCGTTCAGTAAAAAAGGAGCAGAAATAATTCGCATCAAAAGTGCGTTCACTTAACTTTTTTCATCAAAAACTTTCATTTGACATTTAGGGTAAACCATGTTGAAATTTGTGCAATGTTGAAATTTGTGCGATCAAATGAAATGTAAATCATCTAAACTAAACCATTTATAGAAAAAATTTGTATGCAGTTCTTTGTAAAGCAGTTATTAAAACTTTTCTACTTCATTTTGGATTGTGTTGAAGGTTCTCATAGCTTTAAATTTCAATTATTCAAAATCCTATACAAAATGAAAGTTTTTATCTTTTTAATTATTTGGACTCAACTAATGATTCTTCTTACCCCATCAGAGTTGAAAAACAAATTTTCTTTATTGCTTTTTCGATTAAAACAGTTTCTGCGTACGAAAAGTCATTGGAAGTCCTTCAAAAATTGATTTTAAAATGAGTTGTTTTCAAATGTTGAAATTTGTGCGAAATTTTTTGACAAATTTTGAAATTTGTGTGTGTGTTTTTGTCGTAGAAAGCAATGTCACATTTTGTCAACAAAAATAATTATTTAAAATCAAAATCTGGTTTTTAAAGGTATGAATCAAGATTAAGACAAAAATAACATGAAGAAGACATGAACTGAGAGTAATGAAAAATGTGTTCGACTCAAATATTCATACAGAATCAAGAAATTTCAAAAATGCAACCAACTTCAAAAAATATTACAAGAACAAAAACTTTTTTTAAACTTCGTTAAAATACTCTTCTTTCTTTTATTTCTCAAAACAATTTCTTTAAACTTTATCGTGAATTAATTTTGGAAAAAGACATTTGTAGGATGTGCTTGGTTTTAATGGTGTCTTCTCGTCATACTCAGTCAACATAAATGATTTACATAATGATAAATAAATTCGGAAATCTTGAAAAAAGTTCATTAATGCAGCACTGTCCTTTAAAATTGAAATGGAGTTTATTTGGAAGTGTTTCTTAAAAGCAATCACCATTTAAAACCCTCGAAAATGCGTAAAAATATTGTTTGTTTACATTTCTGAATTGAAATGTGTCAATGCTTGCTGTCAAAAAAACGCACAAATTTCAACATTTTTTTGCACAAATTTTAAAATTTTCCGCACAAATTTCAACATTTGACCAAAAATGTCAAATTTATCTTCCTATAAGCAGCATAACCATCACTGAGTATAAAAAACGAAAATTTCAACAATTTTTGATAATTTAAGACCAACAGTAATTTTTTACAGTAGGGCATTGAAAAGTTATAAGCAAATGAAATCTTCAAGTGCAAAAACACACAAATTTCAACATGGTTTACCCTACCATAATTTTATACATCTAAAAATTCAAAATCAACATAAAATAAATCCAAAACAAGACCCAGTTTCAAATTCAAATCCTTCATTATCATCATCATCAATCACATTTTCCCATTCAAAATCTGTCTCACTTTAATATTCTACAAACTCGAATAAATCGATAACAAAAAACATCAAATAAATGAAAATCAAGAGCGAGAGAGAGGAAAATATTTGAAAATTATTTATGAGACGATATACAACAACATAAACATACGCATAAATTCATCATATATATTATTGTATGTTAGAAAATTTAATTTTCCGGAAAAAGCCGCAACTGATTGATTTTTTGCTTCTTTACTTTCAGAAATCACATCATGCGAAACATCATCACCCATCATATACACATATCAATGAGCAAAAAAAACTGGATGAAATGGAAAAGATAGACGACGTCTCCTAGATATCTGCCATTTTGAAAATGATTATATTTCAAGATTACTTTACTGAATATTTTTTCTTGCCTTACGTTAACATCTTTGATAGAAAGACAAGACGGGAGGGTTGAAGAATATTTTTGACATATTTTTTTGTGAACGCAATTCGTTGCCATGGTTGGAATGGATCCAAAAAGTTTATTCGGTAAGAAAGATGCAAAGTTTTGCATCAAAAGTGTGTTTAGTAAAAAAGATGCAAAAAATTATTGCATCAATTATGTATTTAATCAGAGAAAAGCAAAAAAATTTGCATCAAAAGTGTTCAGTAACAAAGACGCAAAGTTTTAGAATCAAATGTGCGTTCAGCATAAAAGATGCAAAAAATTTTCATCAAATTTTAAAATGTCAACAAAAATGTGCTTCGAATATTTTTGACATATTTTTTGTGAAAGCAATTCGTTGCGTGGTTGCAATGGATCCAAAATGTTTATTCGGTAAAAAAGATGCAAAGTTTTCGCATCAAAAGTTTAGTAAAAAAGATGCAAAAAATTATTGCATCAATTATGTATTTAATCAGAAAAAAGCAAAAAAAAAATCGCATCAAAAGTGTTAAGTAACAAAGATGAAAAGTTTTAGAATCAAATGTGCGTTCAGCAAAAAAGATGCAAAAATTTTGCATCAAATTTTAAAATGTCAACAAAAATGTGCTTCCTTTTCCCATCCATGCATTCTTTTATAACAATTCTTGTCTTCTTCAAACGTGGGAAGTTTTATCATAATTTTTTCTGCTGTCGTCAATCCAGTAGCAAAAATATTTTTAGAGAAGGAGCGAGTATCATATGATTTTGTTACAAAAAAGTATAATTTTACTTTCAATAATGCCAAAAATACACAACTTCCTCATTTCTCCCTTCCACAGCTCTTATTATTTTTGTAAACAAATATTTGCTATGATAAATATTATGATGTCGATGGAAATGATTTCAAGGAATTGATTTTTTATGTCACATAATTTTCTCTCGCATTTTACTTCCACTTTTCTCTATCATTTGGAAGCTAATAGACGACTATCAATATTGAGGGAGATAGATGAAAAGGAAGAAAGGATAATTTTTAGGCATCATTTACAGACGAATGTCATTATGATGAAATAATAATGGAATTCTATTGTAGCGAAGAGCATTTAACCGGAAAATCAATTTGTGTTTTATGTTTTTTGGGGAAGTACAGTGTTTTTTCGGTGATTCTTGGAATTGGTGGAGTTTTAGATGCGGTTCTGTAGTCTACCCCGAGTGACACAAAATAGGCGTATTAATCTACATGAGCTTCAACTAAATCCATTTATTTCCTACATCATTCACACATTTACTAGCACTTCATTAAAATTCTATACAAAAATACTGAATAGGTAATAAGGAACAATAGAAGGTGACATAAATAACAAATAAAAATCGGTTAACTCAAAGAAAACACAAAGTTAGCAAGTATCATTAACAAAAAAAAAAACTGTGAATAAAAGGATTGATGTCGAGTAATTAACACAAATTTAAATGAAACTCTGAACCTACAGATGCATCACATGATTCAATTCAACTTCTTTTTGCTTATTTATAAGCGTAAATCTTTTAATTAGATGGGAAAATATAAATAAAATGAGATTAAAAAAAATGTGAAAACAAAAACGAGAATCGTTTGATGTTTATGAAAAGCTCTTATAATTATAAATTGATTCTGGTTTCACACCTTCGATATAATAACATCAACATCCACTTTATGCAATTATTCTTCCATTTATTTTTTTTTCTCTTTTGCCAACACCATAAAAGCACTTTATGCTTTATTACATAACACATGCTTATTGTTTTGTCACTGAGTAATGTCGCTAATTGGATCTTTTCTCACTTTGTCTGCTTCGTTTTAACTTTTGAGCGGAGATTGTGAGGCTTTGTGGGTTGTTGATGGTGGTTTGTCGTAATATTGGTTATATTCAAACAAACTTAACTTGTTATAAGTTGTCTTGCTTTAAGTTTACTTGCTATAAATTGACTTACCATAAGTTTTCTTGCTATAAATTTTCTTCCCATAAGTTGTCTTGCTTTAAGTTCACTTGCTATAAATTGACTTACCATAAGTTTTCTTGCTATAAATTTACTTCCCATAAGTTGTCTTGCTTTAAGTTCACTTGCTATAAATTGACTTACCGTAAGTTGTCTTGCTATAAGTTGACTTACTTTAAGTTGTCTTGCTATAAATTTACTTGCCATAAATTGGACTGCTATAAGTTTATTTGCTAAAAATTGACTTACTATAAGTTGTCTTGCTATAAATTTACTTGCCATAAATTGGACTGCTATAAGCTTATTTGCTATAAATTGACATACCATAAGTTGTCTTGCTATAAGTTGACTTACTTTAAGTTGTCTTGCTATAAATTTACTTGCCATAAATTGGACTGCTATAAGTTTATTTGCTATAAATTGACTTACTATAAGTTGTCTTGCTATAAATTTATTTGCCATAAATTGGACTGCTATAAGTTTATTTGCTATAAATTGACTTACTATAAGTTGTCTTGCTATAAATTGACTTACCTTAAGTTGTCTTGTTTTAAATTTACTTCCCAAAAGTTGAATTGCTACAAATTGATCACTATAAATTGTCTTGCTATAAATTTGCTTGTCATAAGTTGTATTTCTACAAGTTTATTTGCTTTAAGTTGACTTACTGTAAGTTGTCTTGCTATAAGTTTATTTGCTATAAATTGGCTTACAATAAATTGATTTTCTTCAAGAAATACTTAAATTTATTATCCTACCTTCAATAGCAGAAACCTAGAAAAATACGCTTCAGTCTCTTGCTCAAAAAGATCTAGAGAATCCTTCCTTATTTCACATGGTAAATATTTTCTTGTTTATTTATTCACTTGCTTTCATATCCAACTTACAGTGCCATTAATTCATGGCTCCTTTGTTTCTCCCGTTCTGTTTTGCATTTCAAGCTTTATCGTACTTTTTGATGACGAGCTACAAAGGGAATGAAAAATAAAAATCTTTGAGCCTATACACAATTTTTATTTGTACTTACTAAAGCAAATAACCACTTAAATTACATTTCATGCATGCTAGTTTTCTTCACATTCATGGCAAGTGTCGTCATTCAATTCTTTTATGATACAATTTTACACTTTCATGATATATAATTGCATGATGTGGAAAATTGCAATAGAAAGAGACGAGAATGTGTTAATTAATGATTTTAATGATGACAATTTTTGAGATGATGAATATTTGTGAAAAATTTCTCATGCATAGATAATTGAGTGTCGGTGTGTATGCGAAATTAGTCAAAGGAAATTTCCTTTTCTTTATGATCAAATAATGCTTGTCGCACCTACATAACTTCTGCATGATGATGATGATGATATATTTCAATAATAAAAAAAAGTCATAAAAAATATTTTTATTCATAAGCAACAAATGTCAACAAAAAAAAGTAAATTTTATTGCCATCAATAAATATTTTTTTTCCTTTCCTTTCACATGCCTCCCCATCACCGCAATCAAAACCTACATGCAGACAATTTTTCACACACAACAGCACAGATGTGATGAAAGAGGAAACTTTGTCTCATAATCATAAAGAGCTTCCTTCATCATTTTCGAAAATTTCACTTTATGGCATTTAAATTTGCTTCTACTGTTATTCCTCGGGATCGAAAAAAAACATCCACACGCCGGCAATGACAACGAAAATAATAATAATAAATATGAGGAACAAATTCATATTTTTTTTTTGTGGAAATTCCAGCAGTCTCAAAGAACGGATGACATTTAGTATACTTACATGTAAATGTTTTGTTGTTTGGCAAAATATTTAAAATACTTTTTTTGCGCACACACATATAGCACCGTTTAAGGAAACCTTCAAATGACATATACATGCTTTCCTAGTTTAAATAAAAAAAATAAATATATGAGGAATGTTATATGTAAGGGGTTATTAATAAATGATGTCTATCTGAAAATTTGATTTTTAGACTCCTCTTCATGCTCTGTCACTGCATACATATTTCTTTCAAGGTGCAATTTCTAAGGCTAGTTTATATCATTGGGTATTTAATAAGATTCAACTTTAAGTAAGGTTAACGTAACTTGAGCGGTGAAATGGCATCAGTGGTCTAAATGGTAGAGCGTTGGCCTTCTGTGCCAAAGATCCTGGGTTCAATCCCAGGAATAGCATCTTGCGCACACGAATTGTGACTAGGTACATTGCAGGGTACATCAGGTTATAACGTACTCGTGTCTTTGAAATGTGCTTGCAAGTGGTTCGAATCCCACTATAAACTGTAGGTCTAAAGGTTGTGGTACAATAGATTCTGTTCTAGTTTGAGTCGCAGTGCCTCCAACTGAAAGGCTGGGCCCTTCACACATTATTATTATTATTATAAGGTAAACCTAGAAACTAACTTCAACTTTAAGCCTTCTCTATCCTCAAAATCAGACGTCATTGTTGAATAATCCCTAAGCATAATGTGCTGTCATGTGAGATATTTTTACATGAACATTATATTTATTTTTTTACTAGAAGTGCTTCATATATCACATAAAAAATACTTTTAATGTCATCCGTGAAAGAAAAATCACATCGAAATGATTTATTGTAATCTCTCCGACGTTATATATGTTTTTTGGGAGGGAACCATGCAAATATGATTATGATGATGATGGTTTTCTGCTTCTTAGTTGAAGATGTGGTTTGTAAGGTGATTTCTTGAACATTCTCATCTTTAACACACCTTGCAAACTACATGCTACATTTTATTCTATAATCTAAAAGTTTTCCCTCAGTTTGTTCCCAACAATTTCCTAGCACAACACAAACAAGCTTCTAATTAAACTTTAGCAATTTTTTTAATAGAAAAAAAAAGAAAAACTTTCTAGCAAGAAAAATTGTTTGTTCTAAGTAAATTAATTTACTGGTGCTTTATGTTGAGCCAAACAAAAGAAATTTTTCATGTGTTGTGCTGAAAAAATAAACAACATTCTTTCGTCATTTCATGTCTATATGTACAAGAATGCAACACGAGAGTGTAAGAGTCACAATTTCATGCGCCACTAAATTTTAAATCTACCTCTCAGTTTTTTTTTTGCCAATCTGCAGCACCTATGCAACAATAAAAATTTTTTATAATAAAAGAAAAGAAGATTTTTTTTTTTCATCGCTTGGAGAATTTCACTTGATGAAGTGACATGTTGGTACGAAATAAAAAGAAGAATGTATGTGCATTGAGCACATGAAAATCGTAAATTACCTTTTTTTAAGCTTTTACAGTTTTTTTTTTGATGTGAATGGCATTTTTCATTAATGTGAAAATAAATATGAAATTAATTCATGTGGAAAATTATGAACAAAATGCATTGAATACAGCCAACTCGACTAGGATAAATAATAACGTTCATGGGGTGGAATTGCTTGTAATTATATCTCAATAGAGCTGTGATTCTAATTAATTTTTTTGACATATTTTTTGAGAAATTCGAGTTTTTGGATTTGCTTCAGTTTGTCTTTTGCTTAATTTACATGATTCCAAAACCAAAGCATAACTGACTAATTCAAACACAAATAAGACACGTTATGTGCCGAAGACCTCAAAACTACACCCAACACACGAACCGAGCTTCGACACTATACGGTAAAATCGAAAAAGAACTTCTAAAACTTGACTTGACCTGAGATTGAACCCAGGACCTTTGCACGTAAGGCCAACACTCTACCACTTAGGCTACTTATGTAATTTCACCGCTTACTTAACACTGTGCCTAGACTAGATCCTAACCTAATTAGATAAAGGAAGTGAAATGAAACTTTCAATTTAATTCTTATTTATTTTTAAGCCTTAATTAATACTGAAAACAATAAGAAAATTCACAAAACAATCGAAAGTATCCAGCTAGTCTGCAAAACATTCTCAAAAAATTCCATTTTAATCTTGAATCCAGAGCTGCGAAACAGGCACCTGTGACAGGTGAGAACCCTACAATTCCTTGATAATTTATAAGGTTTTTCTAACAAAACCATACAAATTATCAAGGAATTGAAAGGTTCTCACCTGTCACAGGTGACCTGTTTCGCAACTCTGCTTGAATCCCCTTAAAATCCACAACAATTCCCCTTTCTTTTATCAACCTTTGAATCCCAAAAACATTCGCCATTCTAATTTTAAAATCAGAATGCCTGTATCATAATTCAGCATAAATTTCATATGCGAAGAATTCTGAATAAAAATTCCAAAATTCCATTCTTTCATTTCTTTCCTTTCCCGTTAATAAATTTCAACCTTAATGTGTATGCTGCTTGCTGCTGCAACATAATGATCAGAACAGGAAAAGGAGCCGAAAAATATTTATATATACGAGCATAAAACATGAAAAAGGATCCAACATTAAACTGCAGGATTTTTTTAGAATGAAAGATTGTCGAACGAGCACAGAAAGAAGAGGGCGAGAAATAAAGTTTAATGATTTCGATGTCCTGCGGTGTGACAGCAAAAAAACAAATTTTTCTTTATTTCACAGTTCTTTCGATTCTTTTTAGCATCTTTCATTCTGAAAATAATATTATATGTGTAGATAAATATGTTTCGGGTTAAAAGATTGAAGCATATTATGAAGAGACATTTTGGCATTTTTTTTATCCAACATCCATCCATGACACTGAGTCTCTGTTTGTGTGCGGGAGTTTCTTTAGAATTTAGTAGTTTAAAGATGAAAAGAGAATAATTTTTTTTTCTTACCTACAAAAATTTAACAATAGAGCACATAAATTTACTTTTTTGTTCTGTCGATTTGAAGCCTCACATCCGTCCAGGTGCAATGAAATTTGAGTTTGTGAGCGTTATTTCTTGTTGCTGCTTGTCATGTGATATTTCTATCTCATTTCAAGTTGTAAAATTATTCAGCACTTATCTACAAATTAATTTGAAATCTGAGCCACCGTGGTTAAGAATAAGGATGCATAAAATGCTGCTTATGATCTTTTTTTGATGATTATCATGTTCTCGTTCGGTATCATCAAGATACAAAATTTTTGAGAATTGAATTAAATTTATGGGAAGTTGATGAAATGAATTGTGGGAAGATTTTTTTTTCTTTTCTTTTGTCCTTTCGATGTTGTGTGCTTTAGTTATGCAGATAGTGTGCATATGTTACTAATAATTACTTCCTTTTTTTGAGGTAATTGAGCGATCTCTGATGATTGTAATCATTGATAGCTTTATACTTAATTATCTTGAATCTTTTGTATTGATAATGGCATTAATAAGGGTATTCAGCAATCTGTGCTGTCATAACGTTAATTTGAGATTTGAATAATATTTATTTTGTCCAATATTATTATAGTTGTTTACCCCCTTTATATACAAATATTCAGTTTTTCACACATAACACATTGTGTTATGTAAGATGAATCGAGTATTTTACATGTAAGTTCCCAAATAAATAACAATAGGGAACTAAGGATGTTTAACTGATAAATTACGAATTGATCATTTTCGATCAATACTGTAAAGTTCTACAATCTCATCCCACGTAACTATAAGTCGACGAATGGAAGATTTTATGGATTACATCAAAATCTTCCATGTATGTTCCATATGTACATTCCATGTATCGTACATTGGACATTATGCTAATATG